GGGGGGGGGGGGGGCAAGATAGACATAGAGAGAGAGAGAGAGAGACTAGATACTTCCTAGGATGCTACTTGTTTAGTATTTCTATGTAGTGCTTGTGCTTCCTTCCTATTGAGGATAGGGAAGTCTCTTGGAGTGCTTAAGTAGTGGGTTTTGATGCATTTGAGAACTGGGATGTGCTTTCTATCTTTGTTGTTTTGTAGGAACAGCAATACAATTATTCTAGTTTTTCTCAAAGGCTCTATGATCACCTTTCATTTTTTGTCTTCATGAGCTTTGTCCTCCAGCCTCAACTAGACTGTTTGTCAAATGTTTTTCTTTAACAATATGCATGGCCAAAACCCACCAAAGAAATAAAACCGTTCCGACAAGAACCTACCCTGTTTTTCTCTCTTACCTTAAAGGAAGTGATCTGCAAAAGCTTGTACAGTTGGTGGTGAGAGTCAGAATATTCACCACAAAATGCACTCTTCTATATGATATTGGCAATGTCGGAGTTAAAGGGGTTAAAAACATCCTTGTTATTTAAGTTCACAGCCTAACTCAGGATCAAGAACACAAACTGGGGGCCCTTATAAGTTCAATGCTGGCAATGTCACGATTCAGCACCAAGGCGCGACTGTAGGAGTAGTTGCTGTCCCAAAGAGCAAGGCTGGAATACTTTCTACCAAAAGAATCAATGTGGAGGTGAGTTTGAGTTCAAGTGCAATAAGTGGTTCAAATCTTGGCAGCAAATTGAGCAGCGGGGTGTTGACGCTCAACAGCGTTAGCTAGATTGACTGGAAAGTCGAATTGATGTTTAAAATGAAGACGAAGAAGGCTACCAACATGAACTACTGCACCATAGATGTGGCAGCCAAGACAGTCAAATCTTTACAATGCAAGTGAAGAATGCTAAAATGATGTGGATTTTTAATTGATGAAGAATAGTTCTTGGATAATTTTTTCGTCATTGATACTCTTATGAGTGACACTAGTATGTTGTAGAATTATAACACTACTTTACTGAAACCGTCGTTATCCTTTCTACTGGGGCTGTGCTTTCGTTTGATTTTGGCAAATGAATCAATTTGCAACTAACTTTATGTTTACCAAATGATTTAAACTTTATACCATGCATCTTGTTTATCCAATAAGGCCAGTATTTGCAGAAATGGGTCTACTTTCAGGATCAATCTTGAAATGGAGGAGCAGGATTAGTGGTCTACTTTTTCCTTTGTTCTCAAAAGACAAAGGTGCTAGATTTGCAGTGATTCTAAGTTTTACCCAACCAAAAAGACAAAAGCATTTTGCTGATATAACCTTGCACCTGCTACACAACATCTAGCCTTTGACAAGATAACAAACTCTGTATGTAAAATGCAGGCCGTATAACATATTGGAGTTGTATATTGTTGCTTCGTGTATCCCAGTTGCTACAAAACCATAAACATTAACCATTCATTCATGATATTTTGATCAACTTGATAGATTTTATTTACACAACCATAACAATCATCCCTCCCTAACAAGTACATCTACTTAACCGGAAAAAAAAAAAAAAAAAAAGGAAGCATCGGCCAACATTTTTAACCAGTCCTGTAAAAAGAAGCTTGGAATAATCTGTCCCGAGAAGCACTAACATCCACCCTGATACTTTTAAGTGCAAGCAGTCTCTAAAATCTATGCTATGATCAGTAATGCTAGGGGATTATAATTTATGGATCACATTGGAGATCAACAAGAGTGGGACTCACCCGTACAAGTGGATCCCATGTCAATTAGCTAGAGATGCGATCCACAATGTGGTACAAATGGTTTCTGCTCTTTTCATACTGTTCTTTTAGCTCGTCTAATGAGTGACAAGATGTCATGACCCTGCCCAGATTTCTTGAGGCGTCCATTTTTCCGAGATTCCTGCAAGACAACGCAAGAAGACATGCTAAAATCAAAGGACACAAGACAAAGTGATTGTAGCAAATGTCATCATGTATGTGTCAACTGTCTCATCTCACCTGGAAATGAAATGTAGGATTTGGACCTCTAGACAGGATTGATAGGCCATCACGAACCGGAACTACAGTAAAATAAATGGATGTTAAAGATTGAGAATGGCACATCATATAAGCTAGTGTATGTTAAAGACAATTTATAAAACTATACATAGTAGCAGCTACTATTCTTGTTTTGCGGGGGAAAGCACAAAGTTACCTAAAGCTGAATTAGTTTCCCCCTTGGATAAAGACGGTTTGAGAGATGATGTGTACAAGAAAAGTGGCATTGCTGCCTCTTTGTCAAATTCATGATTGTCGATGGTTTTACGAGAGGCTGGAGTTGCAGGATCCCTGCATGGATCAAAATCATAAATTTAAAAAGCTCAAAACTATAAACAACAATCATCTATTTCCCTAATGAAGCTACACTGAGCAGTTGGAACCCAAAGGCTTAGAAAAATATATTAAGTATCAACTGTGCCGATGGAAGTTCATATAGGTTCTTTGTGAATGCACACTTATCCTGCATCCAAATAACCTCAAATTTTCTGCAATGAGATTATAAAGATGAAAATCTTACCACAAATCTTCACTGGTTTTCTCAGCATCTCTGACTGCCGATCAGATAACAAAGAATTAGAAACTAGAAAGTGGAAAGAAAAAAAAAAGTTATGCACATAGTTGTAAGTAGCAGTTTATCCTTTCTTTCATGTTTGACTGGAAATAGCAGATTTTCAATCTTAGTGAAGAGGAGAACAATGAAATGGTATGGAATAATTACGTGCAGATAAAAAACGTGCGTTATGCCTAGGCAATATCTCCCTCCATCGGACTTTAGGCAGAGCAAGCTTGTGGGAGTATTGTTCGCATAAGAAAAGCCTCTGTCAAAAACAGAGCAAGTTTACTGATTAGTGATTCAGGCAAGCACATAATTTGTAACCCATCTATTAACATAAGCAAGCTTATAAAGTGAAAATAACAACTTGTTTGAGGCAATCGATTCTAAGCTCGGTCTCTGAAAATGCGTTAGTCTCAGAAATGAGGCCATTGAGGTTGGCAGAAACGCATCCAAGATGATCAACAACAGTAACCACAGCTCTGCATACATACTCCTTGGTGTTGTCCATCACACTGCAAAAATTAAAAAAATTGAAAAAATGCAACCATTGCAGCAATTCATGGCTGAGTCCTAAAAAGGTCATTATGTGGAGAGCTTTGGCATTTACTTGTGTTAAAAAGACTCACACTTTCTTCTCTTTGGCATTCAAGAATGTTGATTCACAGTAGTCAGCAGCATAATGAAGTTGAGAGCGCAGGTCTTTCAGTTCCTTCAACCCACAGACAAACAAAACTAGTTTGGCATCTTGTTCTTAACAAGAGAGAATTTCACAAGGAGATGAGAGAAAATTTCACAAGGAGATGAAAAACAAGCATGGCATTATTGTTGGGCTGGAAAATAATGTACCTGGAGAGACTTATCAAAGCTGACAATGTCCAAAGGCTTAGACTTAGCTTCTGAATCTTGTCCTGAACAGGGTTTAGAGTTTTCTATCTCCTCCATGTTTTTCTGTAAAATGTTTATGAAACTTGCAGAAGAGATGATGATAAAGAGGGGAATTAAGAAAAAGAAGACAAGCTCTCTCCTTATCTGATTATCTCCCTGTTTTTTTTTTGAACTTGTTGGGGGGTGAGTGGGGTGGGGCTTGTTTTGGTTTGAGCAAGAGAAAGAGACAGAGAGGTGATATCTGTGAGTCTGTGACTATAGGCTTTTTTGAGAGAAAACAAAAAACCCATTAAAGCTAGCAGTGAGAAAACAATACAAAACAAAACCCATTAAAGAGAGATTCTCCAGGCCATGATCAGATTCAGAGTGATCACCAGCATGTTCGAGAAAGAGAAAGATGACAAAAACAAAGTTTTCAGCCCGTGATTTTGTGTTCGGTGTCCTTTTTTCAGTTTATGAGAAAAGAAGTTTAAAAGGTCCAAAGTCAGTGACTGACTGACAAATGAATCAAAGATGGCACTTCCATATGCGTTATATTGAAGTATTTATTAAAATGTTAGTGACTGCATTATTTCCGAGGTATGATTGTGTAAGCTGTTATTGGATTATGACAACATGATTTGCTCTCTCACTTTGGAGCCCTGATTGGCCTTTGCTCTCTCACAGGGTAATTGTATAATAATTATTTAGGATATCTTTTTATCCCTTAATTGAGTGTAATTATCTTATAATTAGCTTGTTACCAATCTTGTAAAGATAATTTATACTTTCCAAATTGAGATTAATAAAATCATTTAATTTCAAAACTTTCAGGTTCCTTATAAGATGGTTACTATCAATCAATCATAGATCACGTAGCCATCATGTTGCAATAAAAATTGTAACTACACACGCAAATGTGGATTAGGACAGTGAGCCCATCTCCTTATACCCAAGTTCGAATTCCCCTCTCCGAAAATTAGATTATCACTTGTATCTAAAAATAATAAAGAAATTGCAACTACACACATGCAAATGAAGTCTAATGCATGGAAAGTTTATACACAAAATTATGGTCCCTCTAATCTAAGGACCACCCTATCAGCCAACCCCACCAGACGCACGCGCTCAAAGGGAGAAGAAGAAAAGCTCTAGGCTACTAATTTTATTGCAAAAACTGTTTCCTGCAATGGAAATCTGTATTCTTCTCCAACTAGAAACTCAGCTGCCAACTATACAGACCAAAAAACCCTTCAGTTGGGAGCTCATTAGCCATTACCCTACAGTCTCAATGAAGATCCTGAACTAGATTAGCATAAACTTTATATTTGAAAATCAATGACACATCCACCAATCTTCTCTGCAGTTGCAATATCTGGAACAATTGAGTGACAATCTGAGATCATGGACCCTGACAGAATATCTTTGAGATTCTCAAAAAATTCATTAGGCTGGTGTTTAGTATATTTCTGCTTGCCATTCTTCAATGGTTGTGACTCAACACCAGTTTGAGTAGCTGACCTTGCATTCCCGTTGTCACGACGAAGAGGCTGTGCAACTGCTCCACACAAATCTTCTTGGTAAGCTTATAAACTGATATGGATGACATAATTTACATAGACAGTTCATTTCGTGTTGCCAACCCAAATATCTGTAGGGAAAACCATGAATTGATAACACTCAGAATTACCTTCAGGTCTGGTTGCAGAATCGTTCCTTTCCAGACGTGATTTACTTCGCATAATGCATAACCATGTTCTTTCTGCCTCACAATCATGTTCTGATGCAACTGGAATATGCCAGTGCCCTTCCTCTGATTCCTGAGAACATATTTCACCAGGTGCATCAATATTTCTGTTGTGCCACCTTTCAAAAGATAGGAATACAAACATGTACAGATGCAGAGTCTTATAATCAAGATTATATTAACTTGTTTTCACCTGAATTACAACAGAACATGGAGGAGGCATGTGAAACACTGGACCAGCATCAGAAAAACTGAAATGCACCTGCCATTAGAAAAAGATAGATAACTAGTTAGAAAAATAGGATTGCAAATCATACATAAACCAAGTATCATCGGTTGCAAAAAAAAAATAACAAACTGGACCTATTAAATTTACATTTAGAACCGGCAAAGGCACTTAAAAATATTACTTGATGCCTTTCTTTCCATCTGGGGAAGAAATCATTTCCGAGAAGTTGAAATATATGGTCTCTCATTTCGTCATTTGTCACCAATAAACATTTGAACTTTATAGCTGCATACAACCAGTACCTGAAGCACAGGTTAATACCGTGGCACTTTAAATGCATATGTATTACCTAAACAATAACATGAAATTAGCTATTAATTCAGTAAAAAGTTCATTATAAATCATATTCAAACTATGCAAGCATCATTATGTTCCAATATTATATTGCTCACCAATCATCATTTGAACCCGTAGGTGTTGCATAGAGAGCATCAGCATTTTGCCACTTCTCAATCAATGCCCTATTAACCCGTTCATCCATTTTTCCTCCACTGATACGCCTGTTATGAAGAACAACGAGTGGCCATCTCTTTGAAGGAAACTTCTGGCGTATTCCATTAACAACAGCATTGACCTAGTAACCCACCATGAAAATTTACAGCAATCACTAAAAAGAACATAAAGTTGATGTGTGTCATATGTGCTTAAGCATCATGCAACTTGCCTTGGATGGGATGAATTTCTTCTGGCTGAAAAGGCCTACATTAGCTCCATCCACCACTGCTTCAAAAGGTCCATAATAATCTAGCCATTTCTGCAGAATAAAATTTTATTCTTTCCTAAGTCAATTCCAAATACAAGATTAAAATCAATAAGCATCATTGGGGACTTTCGTACTTGGAATTTCTGAAAGCTTGAATTTTTCTCTCTCTTTATAGCTATAGATGCAACTGATTCAGCAAAATTTTCTGTTTCTACAGGATCAAGGTCAATTGTGGCCAATTTTTCCCCACAGCATTTGCACAAGCCATCAGCTCCAATAGTTGTACGCAACACAGACCATTTTCCTTTTCCCAACCAGCCCTGCCCATGCCAGCCCCCACCTCCATTCTCAATTGCATCCCTCGTCAATCTTGGATCCCATTTTATTTTTCCCACTCTTGCAGCTTCTTTGCTATGAAACCAGTTCATAATTAAATCGGCAGTAGACGGTGAGACCCTCCTTACACTTGTTCTTAGTTTGTGCAGCATATAATACACCTTGTCACCTTTACCAACTCCCACACTCACTCGTAAGAGGGCCTCTAGTTCAGGCTCCTCTGGATAGACACCATGCTCCAACATGTGTTTCTCAACAGCAAATGCTTTCTCAATATCTCCACTATGGCAAAAAGCAGATAATGCAGGACCATAGGAACGCAGTCTAGGATTTATTCCCAATGACTTCATTTGCTTCACCATATCAAATGCCATGTCTCCATCACCCATTGACATTGCCATTCTAGCCACAGATGTCAATGCTGCCTCATTCATTGGGACATTATCCAAACACATCTTCTCATAGATCTCAAATCCCCTTCGGAGGGCATACTTCTTCACTTCTTCACTAACACGAATTCCATTATCTTCTTGCTTAATGCTTCCATCTTTTAGATTTGACGAATCATCTCCACCCTTTGTAGGGTAGTTCAGTCCATCTAAGAGGCGGGAATTTCGCTTCACAAACCCATTAGAAAACCATGCCAAGTTCTCCTTTTCATCTGAAGTACCATCCAGATCATCAAACCCCATTTTGTCCCCATTACTTCCATTGGTATCAACCAGCTGCTCATTGTCCAAAGTTGATGTATTCAACCCCCCACCATCCCAATTCCCACTACCCAATTCCATGGAATTCACCCTGGTTTCTTCGCTGGCAGACGAATCCAAGGTATCCAAAGTTCGACTACCAGACCCACTCTTAGCGGGACGAACAACACCAACAGCTGCAGAAGAACAGAGATACAACAGTACTGTATAGTGGTACTGCTCCAACTTAATTTCTTCTCTTTGAGCCAAATCATAGAATTTAATTGCCCCCATGACATCCCCTCTCTTTGAGCACATATCCAACCCAACTCTCATCTTAACTTCTGGCGCATCAACGTCATATTTCTTAGACCCTTTCCCCCTTTTCTCTTCACCCGCCTGTTTATCATTACGTTTTCCTGAGGAGTTTACTTTATTCTCATCTTTGAGCCTCCTAGAAGAATGCCCATTATCGTCCCTCCTTTTTCTAAAGCCAGGATTTTTCCTCGTATTTCTGTCTTTACTGAACCTATCTTCAGCCTTTTTCTCCTCCACTGAATCAACATGGTTCTTTACAGATTTTTTGCCAACCCTTTCTTCTGTGGACTTTAAGGAAGAAAACTCAGTACCAGCCCCTGAAGTCTTGGTTTTTATATATGGTTCACGGTACGTGGTAGATAACTTTGCAACTATGTGGCTAATATTTTCTCTAACTACTGGAAGTGGATAAAGTTGAAGTGTGTGTTTAAGTTCAAGTGTTTGTTTGGGAGGCGAGTAAGTGAGAAAATGAGATGGACAATGGAATTTAAAAGAATTGAGAGCCGATGGGAACTTACAGAGGTTGATGGAGAGGAGGTGGTGCTTTTGCTGCAGTGAGTTGGAGGTAGAAGAGGCCATGTGTGGCCGTTGGAAGAGCGCTCTCTAATGGCGAGATATGGATTTAATACGAAAATAACTAGAGAGTGGTGCAACTCGAAATTACAGAGTTGCCCTTAATAACAAGATTTTTAAGCACCAGTTGCAAAGACTTATGGGTAAATTAGTAATTTCAAGTAGAAAAGTTTTTTTTGGTGAAAATTAGATTGAAATTTAAATAAAATACAAAAATAGAGGTGGGAGGGAGGGAGAAGGGCTGTTTGGGGTTTGAAATCCTCTTGATTTTGAACTTATTTGGTTTCCAATTCAGTTTCTTTATTGGTTCATTTTTTTTCAATACAAGAGATATTCATGGAGTGTGAATTCGAAAACCGGACCTCGAGTGCGGGGATAAGTTAACTACATCTAATCTTTTCTCAGGGACCCCTTTTGTCTTACTCTCAAAGATTGTGCCAATAGAAACTGATTGCGATAAGGGTTCTGTAAATATGCAATTTTGTCCAGCAGCTTTAAAATGGAACTTCAATCACCTTACAATGTCTTAGTGTCAAGTATAACTTTGTCATTTGGCATGTAACTGGTAGCAAATACTAGAAAGAAAGCAAAGTAAATACACAATATTGGGCACCTCTCGCAAATAATACCCAATCATGG